ATATATAGCCCGGTGGCAATTTTATTACTCAAATTGAAAGGTACAGAAAGAGGTGAATGGGCCCCTCTAGATAGATAAAATAATACAAACACACTCCTAGGGTCTAAAACAACTGGTATACAACAAACTCAAAAAATTTCTCCAAAACAGTAAAACAGTTAATGAAGAAATTCTCTATTCTATGAGGAAAACCGCTTTCAAAATAAAGGCCCATCAAATAGTCAGAAATAAGTCCATGATGTTAACATGCAACTCTACATAGCTTCATAGCCAGCCCAATGGAAGTAAATCTGCAAACGATGATAATAAAGGCAAACAGAAAAATACAGAGTGCCCCAATAATGATAAGAATAAAAAAGGAGATTATTGAAGTTGACTGTAGACAACAAACCAAATTTAAGTTAGTCACTTCTCCAAATCTGTGAGCAGAAGGATAAATAGTCAATATAGCAATAGTAATAGTAAAGGCATTTCCATAAACGTATAGTGAGAAGGCCATTAAAGGAGACCAAATGAAGATGCCCATATTCCCTATTTTTTCTATAGAGTAACTTCATCATGTACATAATATATCTAGTTTTGAGAGCCCTAGTAAACAATAACCCAACCAACAACAACAATATCATCAATACAAACCCATAAAAATATTCTGATGAAAGCAAATAAGATTTTTCCCCACTACAACATATAAAAATAGGTGTTGGTATATAAAATGAAATCCCGTCCAGATTCTATAACCGTAGAGACTAGAAGCAAAATTGACAGTCGCCACAACATAGGCATTCTAATGCAGCAATTCTACATAAATGATAATATATCCCAACAACAACCATTTAATAAAAAGAACAGTTATATGCATGTGATCACCTCCCAAAATAATGAACCAAACAGACATTAAATCTTCTTTGTCACTATAAACCACCTCCATCATCATTTGGTTCAATAATCTCAAGGACATGTAATAAATGAAATAACAACACATACAAAATAATTCCAAGAAAGATAGGAATTAAAGAAAAAGTAAGTGTAATAATCCCCCAACTCAGCTAGAGAAAAGATGAAAGGAGTGTTGAACCACATCCTAGCGTCAAGAGAGATATCAACATTAGAAGTGATAAGCAGTAAAACCCAGTAAATAGCCATCCACAATTAAAACCAAACTTAATGAATACCAAAGGATAACCTGAGATAAGGCAAATCTAGCCTTTCACCACCAATTAACCTCTGCAATTCCACAAGAGGATTGATGCCCAAATTTAATTCAGATATCCCCTTATTAGCTAGCCAAATATGTAGGTCTATTACCCTCCCTATAAACAAAACTCCACTCAATGGTTAGGTTCAATTTAACAATATGCTCTCTTATTGTATTTAAACAAATAATAATGTTCCAAGGGGATTCATGTTTCCTTAAAATATATTCCAACATCAAGAGAGAATCCACCTCCACATGAACAACATTCCAACCATCCAGTTCTGCAACAATGAGAGCTAAAAAAATAGCCCAACATTTAGCCTCAATAGGAATAACAACCACACAAGGGGAAGTAAAAAAAGCCAGACATTTTCCATTTCAATCCTTGAATAGACCTCCAACACCAGCTCTATGTTTGCCCCAAATACCATCCACATTTGCCTTAACCCAGCTAGGGGGAGGGGGCATCCACTTTACTAATTTGGGAAAAGAGAACCCATCCATAGTAAGAGGAGTACCCAAAAAGAAAGCATCCTTAAGAGTACCAGATCTTGTTATTTTATGTATGTAAGCTAGAGTGTTAGCAATAATTGAAGCAATTAGGTAGAAACCCCTTTATGTTTACAAGAATTTCTAGCAATCCATAAGAACCATATATATATATAAAAGGAAATAATATCAGAAAATATTTATTAACATTACCAGTAGCCCAAAATTTGCATCAATCCTTGGCATTCCTCCACCTATGTGGGATGCACCTGTGAAAAAAGTCACCAAAAACCTCTAGATTTGCATGGAGAAAGAGCAATGAAAGTATAAGTGGTTAGTTGATTCATCCTCCTTTTTACAAAAAAAATAGCATTGTTAAGCAATTCTAAGCCCTTTTAATTTCAGTATATCATCATAAGGAAGGAGCCTATGAAAGTGCCTCCAAATAAAGAAAGTCATTGAAGTAGATAAT